CTCCAGGACCAGAATTTGGAACCACTGGGCTACAATATAGGCCAGGGGTCGGCAACCTCTTTTCTTTTTACTAGTTAAATTCAATGGCAATATTCAGCACACAAATAGGAAGCGAATGGGCTTCAGCCAGGGTTGGGCCAAGGCCAAAATAACAAACAAAAACTGAATCTACCTTTTTCCCGAAATGCTTACTATCCTAACAAGAAAAGTTTAAACAAAAAAATACAAGGACTAAACTAAGAATGAATAGACTAAAAAAAATGAATAGTTCACAAAAAAGTGGCACCCAACCCCTACAGCTTCCGTGTTGAAATGAAGTGAGACATATATATATATATATATAGTATTTATGCGCAAGACTGTCCCAGGTCTTAAAAATGCCAAAGCGCCACATTAAGCATTGTAGATATTCCAAAACCATTCCTTGAATTAAGCACTGGCTGCATTTCTTTATACTTGAGTCCAAGTTCAAAATAAAACTCTATGAAATGCTACACTGTGAATTATGGAGCTTTATGAACCACAGAAAGCTGTAAAGTATATAGGAAGTATTTGTCCAAACTCAACTAGTTTTGCGAGAGAACCCAAATAGCCTATCTTTGCTAGAGAACGCAAAAGTTTTGCAAGGGAATGCAAACTAACTATCATGTTGAAGAAACAATACCTCATGTATTTCTTGAATATACGAATATGAACAAGAAAGGGAAAAAATTATAGAAGAAATAAAGAAAAATGGAATTCAATAATTAAATTTTAAGGGTTTAATAAAATTATCAAGTGAAATAAAGTCTTCTTTGATTTTATTAGAGAGACGGGATTGATTAAGAGAATATAAAACTCTGCTCCACACTCCGGACCAGAAGGTGGCGGTAATGCACTTATTTACGTTTGTTGCCAGCCGTCGTTAAAAACCAAGCAGCAGCAGCATGGGGTTTAATTATATTGTACTCTCTCTCTCATATTCATATTGACACAGAAGAAGTCATCCACAATATCCACATTGACCGCCACAAATATCCACCGCCCCCTGCCATCAGCTCCCGCGTCTCACACACACGAGCGCGACTTTAGCAGTAGATTTAGCAACTTTCAGACCCTTTTTGCGGCTTTTTTCCATAGAATATTCATACTGACAAACCTAGCGACTTTTTTTGGATAAACCTTAGCTATGGTTCAGTTGGAAGATTTTGCCAGTGCTGTCTCGCGAATGCAAGGTCTGACTTTCCCGGAGAAGTGTCACCTCCCTCTGCGTCTGTTCTGTGCAGTGAGAGGCAGAGAAGCAGCGCATTCAGTTGGCCGCACCGCAGCCGACTCGTCAATAAAGGAGTACAAAACAGCGTTTCCTAGCACCTGTCGCTCACTGATTGTTTGGAATTATAAATATGAGCGTAGTTCGTCTGTTAATATCACATGCACTTTTTTGTTTGTTGTTTTTTTAAGTTTGTTACTCAGACGCAGGCAGTGCAGCATGAGACAAAAAAGTAATATAGCCAAAACAACCACATAGTCGCTCTTTAGTGTAGATGCATGTTGATTTTATCAGACGATGCCGCGATTATAAACGAGAGTGACTCCTGGTTAACATGTATTAAAGCGGGTCATGTTTAGTCACTATTTAGTGTGGTATTTTTTGACACTATTAACTCATCATGAGAGTAAAATAGTGCATTCTAAGTCAATATACTGCAGTATTTCCTCTCTCAATCAGTAGAAAATATGGTTAACACACGGTCATGCATGAAAAAAAAATACCGTCATGTACCGTGAAACCGGTCTAATTTTGAAAAATACCGTTGTATACATTTTTGGTCATACCGCCCAGCACTAAGTTGTAGTAAAGTGAATAATATAAAAAGAGAGTACAACAGTATATAATAGATTTATAAAAGCATTGGGTAATAATTATTAAACAAAGTAAGAAACAAGTAAGGGGGTGGTTAGAATATGACATACAGAAACAACGGTTCAGTCTTACCTGTGAATGATAATACCCCGAGGTCTGTTTTTATTATTGTGCGACGGTTTGTAGATGCCCAAGCTGCCGACGAGTCAGGTAT